TGTGGTAAATCCTATGGCATGATGAACATTTTTCGACCGGTGTGAAATTGGCGACTAAAGTTGGCGACTAATATTTCCGAAGATAACCGAACATTCAAGAATTGCAATACCGAATGTTCATATTTTTTACAATTTTTGCTTTTTTTATTAAAGGTTTCATCGACTCTCAACCTCCCCACTTTAATTTAAATAAGTACAAAGTAGGTATTTAAATTGTTCCTTTTTACAAAAATAATACTATCTCCGCTCTCATACATAATAAGCAATTCATTTTTCTGGAAAAATAGTATTCGGGGTGTTATTTGAAATGCTGAAATTTCATCGACTCGCAAGTACCGGAAGGGTTATTTTAACAACGCCAAAACATGAAAATAATATTATCTCATACAGGCCCGGATCCAGAGACTGGTTTTGGGGGTGGCGCAAAGCACTTCTTTATCATTATTATTATTATTATTATTATTATTATTATTATTATTATTATTGTTGTTGTTGTTATTATTATTATTATTAATTTGCATTGAAACCCTAATATTACAAATCGTCTTTATTTCGAAAACGGTTAAGTTTTTCGATTATTAACAGGCATACCTTTTTTATTTAGAATTGAACGAATAATTTCTTATTGAAATTCAGTTTTATATATTTTTATTCTAATAGGACACTACAAGTAGCTTCTCTAAAACTGATTGCAAAATAATTTATCATTTTCGTAATTACTACCTCCGAAAACATAGGTATACAAACTTTTAAGACAGTCGGTTCAAAGATGCTTAAGATATAGATATTACAAATAATCTAACATATTTTTTCAACCTTAACACCTTGTAGATCGAAAAGGATCAACATTCGAATAAGGCATGTTTGGCTTTATAGCTCTATTCTGATGTCAGCAACCTGCCAATAAGCTCTGTCCCATTATTAATGAATCACCCTGTATAGATAAGAAAATTAAAGTGAGTTTCATATTTTCCTAAATTCAATAAATTTTCCTGGTACTCTTATAAAATTCTATAAAATTTACATATTTCACAAAAAAAAAACATGTATTATTAGCTCTCGCATTTTTTTTTATTTTATATTAAAGGTATTAATTCAAACAAAATTAAAAAAATCTTACCAAATGAAGTCAAACAATGTATCTTTTTTTTAATGTTTCCAAGAAATTGAGCTTGTGAGAAACAACATTTTTTTAATTAACTCCTAGTATGTAGGTGCTGGTATTATTTGAAACTGGAATAAAAATGGCTAATATTAGTGGTGAGGAAATAAAATAATGCTTCGCTAACTCGAACTGCATGACGATGACCCCAACGAACGATTACAAAGAACGGTTCCAACAAACGATTCCACCGAACGGTTCCAATGGATGATTTCAAGAAACGATTCCGATGATTGATTCCGAGAAACGGTTATGAGAAACGGTTCCGAGAAACACATGTGAGGAACGGTTGTGAGGAAGGGTTTCGAGGTACGGTTAACGAGAAGGATTTTGAAGGTTCTGACGGTTCTGGGAAACATGCGCGGGATGTGGTTGTGAGAAAACAGAACTCTGCGGAATTGCGAAGAACAATTCCGCACAAAAGTTTCGAGGAATAGGTCCTAGAAAGGTTTCCAGGAAATAATTCCAAAGAACTGTTACGAAGAACGGTTCTAAAGTATCGGTTGCAAAGTACTCACTTTATAACTGTTGCAAAGTAGCGATAACCGTTACTTCGCAACCGTTTTTTGGAACCGTTACAAAATATCCATTGCAGGAATGATTACAAAGTAGAAGTTACAAATAGTACGGGTTACAAAGTAGCAGATTACAGTAGCAGCAGCAGAAGCAGTTCTAAGTAACGGGCTGTTTGTTTTGAAGATTTTACGACAATTTTCTCATGTAGTTTTCCCTTATCATGTCGTTTTGTCATTTTTCTTGGCTTGTCTTTTCTTGTTTTATCGTAGGTATGCCTTTTTTCATTTAATTTTATTTTATTTCTACTTATCTTTGTTTCTTATTCACTCTACTCTATTACATATATGTGTTTTGTCTTTTCTTGTCTATTCTACCGTGTTGTCATTTTATATATTTTGTCTGTACTCTGTCTTGTTGTTGTTTTGTCTTCTCCTTGTCTGTTATCGAGTCTGTTGTTTTTTTGTTGGCTTATCTATTCATTATTGCTTTTTCTATTTTTTGTTGTTTTATCTGTCTATTTCCTTGCCTTTTGTCTATATCGAATACATCGTTTGGTGTAATATTGGTTTTGCAATTTTATCATTCTATCGAAAAAATAACTCTTTCTATACATATAATATACCGTGCTCTTTCAGAAAATACTGTTTTTGTGGAAATATCAATGGGCAACACTACGCAAAAAATTATGACGATATCCATGTATTATCTCATTTATCATCACCATATTCAAGTCTTGAAGACTTATTAGGTAACACTGCATATCTACTTTCAATTGTTTTGAAAAGAGATTTTTTTTTACAAAAATATCGACGAAAAAGGATTTTTTCTTATTCTTTATAACGAGCGTTCAAATAGAAACGTGGTCAGGTTGGTTCTGAAAATTTGGATGTAGGGCGTAGCGTATAGCAAATGAACTTAAACGTCATCTGTCAAAGCGCTATATCGCCGCTAGCAATTTGAATATTTTCGTTTTAAAAAGCGTTTAAAATGGTGTTTTCTCAAGAACAAAAAAGTGTTTATCATAGAGTCCTACTTTAGAAATGGACGCAAGATTGATGGAATATGGAAGTATTCTATTGAGGAATGTTTCATAGAATTTCAAAATCAATTTCCCGGCGTTGTTGAGTACAAATTTTTCCAAAGTGCAGTTCAGCGTTGTGTTAATGTTTTTCGTGAAACGGGCAGTGTAACAAGAAAAGAAGGAAGCGGCCGACCTAAAAAGCGGACTGAAGAATTAAAAGAAAATGTCCAACAAATAATGGAAAATGCGCCAAGAACTTCTGTACGTGTTTTATCACAAATGGTGGGAGTATCAGTCGGTACCTGCCACACAGTGTTAAAAAAAGATTTGCGTTTGTTCTCCTATCGTTTAACTTGTCAGCAAGAACTTCATGAAGTTGATTTTCCGCGACGGGCTGTATTTTGTGAATGGTTTTTAAACAACTACGGTGAACTTCATAATATCACCTTTTTTTCTGATGAAGCCTGGTTTCATTTAAGTGGTTACGTAAACTCACAGAATATGAGAATGTGGTCTTCTGAAAAACCAGATAACTTTTTTGTCGAGGGCCCTCTACACGCTCAAAAAATTGGAGTTTGGTGTGCTCTCAATCGAAGGAGGATTTATGGACCTATTTTTTTTAATGGTACTCTTACTGCGCAAAGGTATAGAGAAGAAATTATCGCTCCTTTTGTTAACCAGCTGGAAGAAAACGAAATTACAAACTTTTACTTTCAACAAGATGGCGCAAGGGCACATACGGCAGGCGAGACGATGAATATGTTGAGGGAAGTTTTCCAAAATCGACTAATAAGTCTCAATGCTGAACATGAATTTCCACCGAGGTCATGTGATATTACGCCGTGTGATTTCTTTTTGTGGCCTTACCTTAAAAACACTATTTTTGAACTGCCTATTCCTGATTTAAACCATCTGCAGGCTCGACTTATAGACAAGATTCGTGAAATTAACAATACCCCGAGCATCTTAGAAAATGTCTTTAATTCTTTGAGGAACAGGTGTGAAAAGTGCTTGGAACAAGGAGGGGGACACTTTCAGCAGCTGCTTTAATTTATTGTTATAACAAGGAGGGGGACACTTTCCGCAGCTCCTTTAATTGTTTGTTATTGTTATCACGATTATTCTTTAAAATAAAGTTATATAGTCATTAACGTTATTGAAACTGACAGCTGCTATACAGCTCGTTGAGAAATGAGGTTAAGTTGGTCGCTATAAGCTACTCCCTACGTCCAATGTGTCAGAGCCAACTTCGACCACGTTTTTATTTGAACGCTCGTTATTATTATTGGTTTTTAAAGTTTCTAACGCTCTTTAGCAGCATATAATTTTAGAAAAACCAAACTAAATCAAACAGTGTTATCAATACCAGACCGACTATTTGGTTAATCTAGACATAAAAATACACATATTCCTGATAAGATCATTGAACAGAAATTGAAGTCCAAATCTCAACTGATAACAGGCAATTTCCTGATGGTTTATATAGGTACGATTTCTTTTTTATAGCATTTTTATTAATGACACAAATTAAGGCAATCCGTATTGGAAATAAAACACAAATCTTCTTCATAATTTATTTCTCGTACTTCACTTATCTCATTTATGTCCTAGTATGTACAGTTTTGAACAGTAAAAAATAATGAGGTAGTACTCATATAACTTAATGCGAGAAATCGAACATGAACTACCACTAGATAATAAATTATTTCTTATATTTACAATATCTTACAAGTTTCACTATAATTTTATCCAGCAAATATAATAGTTAGTTAATACTATTATAATGATTTCCGAAATAAAAATATGTAACAATCAATAAATAATTCGAACAACCTTAATTTATTTACACAACGTAAGGTCTGTATAGAGATTCGCTTTCGTGCATTTTTCTTAGGTCACTCTGACTGGCCTCTATGAGGGGTACTGGCGTTTCTGCGCTCTCTTGGTTTGATATGGAAGCACTTGGTTTAAAGTTATTCTGAGAGGGATTTGGAGTGGTGGACTGCTGTTTGGTTGTTTCCCCGTCTTTCGAGGACTTGGCCTCTTGGTGGGCCTTTTTACTTCTTTTCCACTTCATCCGCCTGTTTTGGAACCATATTTTCACCTAGAAAGAGCAAAATTATGTTCACAGATTTACAACAGGTAGTTTCTTTCTTATCTTCAAAAGTTATATTGCATCTTAAGACACTTATTATCATCATTGATATAATCCTATACCTTTTCAGTGATGCGCATATTGGTATCTTGGAAACTATAAAATTTAGAAAATAATTTCACTGTAGATTCAAGTTTCTGTTTCCACGTTGAAAAATCATGTTTTCCTTTTCAACCTTATTTTATATGGGTTTCATATTGAATACGTTAAATGAAAAGAGCTTCATGTAGGAGAAGGACAAAAAAAAATTAATATCGTGTCGAAAAACACTAGAAAAAGGGCAATTGAAATTATGATAACTAATAAGTTAGAAATTGGTATGTGTCTGGTGGTTCTTCTGACAAATGCCACAGAAAAATTCTTTGCAAAAAGCTGCTACGAAGTTCTATATTTTGAAAATTCCTAACAATAAAGAAATTTAAAACATTTCCCAGATACCAATACACTCATCACTCTAATGGACCACCCGGTATATAAATTTCCAACAATGAAGTGCACCAATTTTAAGAGAAAATATATATCAAAACGAGGGATTTTCAACTACCAGTGCCGTAGATATCAAACTTTTCCTTAACGTAACGTAAAATTTTTACACCTATGACTTTCTTGATATATTTTTCACACTTTGTTAAAGCCTTACATTTAAAAAAACAAATTTCTCTTTTAAAATATTTATATTTTTTAGATTTCGGACTTTTACTTTGTTTTACGGAAAAAATACAATTTTTAGAAAAAATGGCTCATTCTTGCCACATCGGGAGTATCTCAGGGTTCAGTTCTTGGTCCACTTTTATTTAATACGTCTGTTAATGATATTTGTGACAATCTTCCAAATAATGTTCTTTTATATGCATACGACTTCAAGTTGTTTACCATTGTTACACCTGCTGATAATTGTATTGTTCTTCAAAAAGATATGTTAAGAATAATATGGTGATATTAAAATAATAACTGCTATTGAACATATCAAAATGTATTATGATACACACAAGAAAAATTAAGCCCATTGTTGAGTATAATATAGGCAAAAATTAAGTCTCGTTGTCCCGAATTTAAAGATTTGGGGGACATTTTTGATACGATATTCCTCACATGAACTACATGATATCTAAATACTAGTAAGTCTTGGTTTCGTTATAAGGAGTCCTTAAAGAAGTTTTCACAGTCTCCTTCTTGTATAATGAGTTTGTTAGGTCAAAACTTGAGTATGTATCCATCATTTGGAACCCCATAGATATTAGTCACTCACGTTTAAAAAAGGTCAAACAAAAAAATTAAATAATTTAAATATCTCACCTTTACACTTGGCAATATATATATTCTCTTAGAGGTACTGACATGTTCTGACATGTTGCGACAAGTTATGACATGTTGCGACATTTTATGACATGTTCCTACATGTCCTGACATGTTATGTGACTTGTTCTTCTCATCAGAAATACTGACATGTTCTGATAGAGGTCTGATATGTTATGAAGATTTAATTTGAACGAATTGTATTACGACGAAAGTACCTTTGTCTTTTATTCTTATACAAGCATAGATGAACCTGATATACTTCGCAGGATAACATCCAATATTCCGTCCCTTCATTCTCGCCCTTATACGTTATTATATTTACCTACTCCACGCAGCAATGTAATGCAATACTCGTCATCTATGTATGTGTCTAAATCATAAGGAACTTCAGTCACCCATTGATTTATTTAGGACTAGCGTTTATAATATTACGTTTTATGTTTTAGGATATTAAATGTGTATATTTTAAATATAATCGTTTTTTTGTATGCCTCGCTCTATAATTATTGTCTGTCAGGGCAGTATATTTTTAAATAAATAAATAATTTTAATGAACAGGTTAACACTAAAATATAACTAAAACTATTTGATATACAAAAATATAATGTAATTTGAAATATGCGTAAATTACAACAAGAATAAATTAAGAAAACAATAAAGTTTAGATTTAATCAAGTATGAAATGAAATTAGAAATAGTAAATTTTTAAGAAAAAAACTGTATATTTAAAAATCTAATTGCGCTATAATAACGTAAAATTTAGAGTACTTATGTCTAAGTTTATTTATTATAGTTTTGTACATCAATCTTTTCATATTTAATAAAAAAAAACTTGAGGTATATCTATCTAAAAGGAACATGTAATCATTAATATGCAACTTACTCTAAAATTTAAGAAAATAGTTTTTTTTGTAAATATGTAGTCTTAACAAAATATACAGAGGTACCTACTTTAAAAAAAAGTTATAGGTATAGAAGTGACACTATTAAAGAAGACGTTGACCCTCCCATATCTACGGCACTGGTAACTGAAATTCAGATTCACTGACATGGTTTTGTAAGTGCCAAATGTTGGAAATACAGTCAAAATTTTATGAAAAAATTTTAGAAAACAATGATTTTTTTTTTCTTATATTGAACACTCTCTTAAAGTTTGTGCCGCTCTTTTTATATTTTTTGTTTTTTACACAATTTCAGCAGCTGAAAACAGAATAATTCTTGAATAAAAAAACTTTCGTGCAGCAAGTGATCATATTTATTTAGTAACGTCGATATTTCTATTAATTGAAATTTCAATACAAATAAAAGATGAGTATATGTCATTTTTCATGAATTTATTCGGAGAAATAAACGCCGCAAAACAAACTATTCCCCTTCGTATTAGTTTCTCCTTCTCAGCTCACAGTTATTGTTAAGTAGATTGAATCAAAACTGTTTTCTTGTTCCTAAGAGTTATGGGCGAGTTAAGAACAACTCCAAACAAACAGACAGAAGTCATATTTTAGGATTGCGATGACTAACTGCACAAAATGTGACGTCTATTTATCACGTCTCCGGAATCTAATCCAATACGGGTCTTGATTTTAATTTAATGTGAAAATAAAAGTAGCACTCACTGCCATAAATCCGTTCTCGAAATAAATGTAATGATTTACGCGGGATATTATATCTTTTACGGAGACAAAATAATTATTTATATGTATACGCATTAATTAAATTATCAGGGATTGAAGGTATTTTGAATAATTTTTTGGGTATAAATTTACCTGCGTTTCCGTCAGCATTAAGCTGGTAGCAACTTCGAATCTCTTGGGTCTGGATAAATATTTGTTTTGCCTAAACTGTTTTTCTAATTCTAAAAGTTGTTGGGACGTAAATGCAGTTCGTGGTCGTCTCGTTTTACCTAAAAGGGCGTGACCTGGTCCACAACCTGCAAAAAAAAAACATTTTACGTGAACCAAATTTAAAATATAAACTTAAAGTAATACTATGTATTCTTAAAGTATTGACATAGTTATTTTTGTGTCTAGAACGCGAAATGGTACTTTTGCGTTCAAGAATCGAAGTTATTTCATACAAGAACGCAAAAGTATTTCGCGTTCGAGATGCAAACAATATTTTTTCGAAAATGTTATAAAATTAGGCAATAATTGTGTTATATCAACAATTTGATTTATATTTGAAATTATTTGACCGTGTTTGAGTCAAGACGGTTTAGGCGCGATAACGATAGCAACCTAATAAACAATGAAAATTAGTTGTATCAAAAAGTAGTGTCAGAATTATATATTGCAATTCATATTCTAAGAGTGTTTAATTCAAAATGAGCTCGGAAAGTGAAGACGAGCATTTACCATGGGAAGGTTCTAGAAAGGGTGGTAGATTTACAGATCCAAGCTCATGTCGAAAAATTAAACATTGTACCACAGTTTCAATCGGGATTTAGGCCGCTCGTTAGTTGTGAAACTGCGTTATTAAATATTGTCGCCGATATTTTGAGAGGTGTGTATGAAAACAAATTAACAATTTTGACAAATCGATTTCTCTAAGGCTTTTGACACTCTAAATTATGAAGCTCTATTTGCTGTGCTTAAATACCTTGGTTTCAGTAATGGCTCCATCCAATTTTTTCGTAGCTATTTTCACAATAGATACCAATGCGTTAAAATGGGGGAAGATGTATCTACTCATCTTAGAATATGTTCAGGTGTGGCACAGGGCTCTATTGTAGGACCTCTTATCTTTATGCTTTACACCTCTTCTATACAAAAAGCAATTCACAAATGTAAACATTTATACGCAGACGACACCCAAAATTACTCATTCCCACCTAAAGATTGTGATATTTCTAACGTAATAAAATGATCAAAAGATCACAGTTTGAGCATTAATTCAAAGAAAACATAGGTTTTACTTTTTGGCCCAAAAAAAGCACGACTTAATTTTGAGCAAAAATTAAATTTGGTGGCGAAGAAATTCTACCTGTAAATAATACTAGAAACTTAGGATTAGTCATGGATTCAACTTCAAAATTCAAGCTTCATATAAATAATTGTATACGTAGTGCTTATGGAAACTTAAAATTGTTATATAACAAGAGATATTACATCATTAAAAAAGTCAAAATTCTGCTGTGTGAATCATTAGTTCTGTCAAAATTTAACTTCAGTGATGCAGCAGCAGCCTCATTGAACACCCAGAACTAAAAGCTACGATAGCTCATAAACTATCGGCACTTTCAATTTACATGTAGTGCAAAATAAATTGTAATCGTCCTGTTTATAATAATTACTGTTTTGTATTGAAATGTTATATTTCTTAAAATGTATATTGTTCAATTAATAAAATCATAAATTTTTATTTATGTTCTAGAACGAAAAAGACTTTGGCGTTCTAGAACATAAAAGTATTTTGCAACTAGGTGGCAAAAAAGACTCCCCTTGTCAACTGAAAATTTAAAGAAAATGTCGACTTTTGATGACAGTTTTTGAAAAACACTTTTTTCATTAATTGCGTAAATGTGGTATAAAGAACGATTTATATATTTGGAAATAAGCATCCTGCAATCCTTTAAAGGTAAAAAAGAATAATTTTTCATAAACAATGAATCAAAATTTAATATATGGGTCTACAATAATTCTCGTAATAAAGGAAATATAGTAAAACGATGTACTCTGAGATAGTGTATTAGAAAAAGAATACCAGATCCAGATAGCGGGTCTGCCCTCATAGAGTCTAGCCCGAGAACAACAACCATCATACTTTAAGTAGTGGATAATGCCTTGCGCAATAAAATTATATTTTCATTACTAAGTGGTTCTTTATCAGAAAAGAAATTAGTTTCAAACAACCAAAAGCTCGACTAATGATCTCATTAATATGTTCAGTAAATTTTGAAATGGAACTTAAATCGTTAATTATTCTCTGGTTAGCTTGTTGTATAGCACTTTCTTCCAAAGGATAATGTAGGTGTGTGTCATCAGCGTATAAATGTGTTTTTTAGTGAGATAGATGTTTTTCAAACATAGGTATAAATCGTGAAACATAATGGACCTAAAACCGACCCTTGTGGCACTCCGCTATTAACTCCTTGATGATCTGACAATGAATAGTGATTATTGATATACAATTGTTTGTAATTAAATAAACTAAATCACTATTGACCTATGAAATCGGGTGTACGTGGGCCCGTGAACCATACAGTTAGGTTATTTTATTGGAAATTCATATTTTACACTTTTTTGACTGGGTACACAATACACATACTTAGGTTTTCTTCCCGTTGGGTGAATTAAACTGTATAAATAAATTATTATTATTATTAGATGGCAAAATCAATATTTCTGAATGTTTTTCCGAAAAACCAGTAACTCCCTAGCGACAAACTATTCAGAACTTCAGTGAAATTATTATTAAACCAATTCGTTATGTATTACTTAACTAGCTTTCACGGGCGATATATTTAGTTACACTCGGTTTACTTCAATCACCGTACAACAAAACGTCGTGCAATTAGCAAATATTTTTCCAAACAATTAAATTCGGCGTCGCGTGGGGGAGCCCTTGACGCAATTATAGAAATAAGTTGATAGAGTTTATGGGTGCTGCATGGCCGTGTTTGAGCATGAACTAACCGGATTATCGGGGGTTCGATTGTCGCTGTTAGAACGAAAGGAATTCTAAACAGTCTCGTTTGGATTTTAAGTTGTGTCCGGACGGTGTTTGTCAATCATTTGTTCGTTTACGTCGAATGAATTCGTCATTAAATTAAAGGCCTAAGTAAATATTTCACACTAGGTCGCTGGATAACGGCGGCGGTAGTTGAAGCTGAAATCGCTTTTATTATAGTCAATTTATGTAACTATTATTATCATTATCTACTCATATATTTTTTTAAATTGTTACATAATGTATACATAGTGGTATTAGAAAAAGTATGTTATCGTATTCTTCGAATATAGTTATAATTGTTGTAAATATTGTTTATTTAAATATAGGAAACATTGTTACACACAGGGTGTCCCATTAATATTGCGAAAAAATTCAGGGGGAGTTTCCTTGACCAAAAATAAGAAAGAAAGTTCCTATAAACCTATGTCCGAAATTGCTTCGTTTCGGAGATACAGGGTGTTGAAATTTAGAGAAAATACAAGGTTTTTACTAATATCTGGAGAGCCCTACTTCCGATGTTTTTGAAATTTGGTATGTTTGTTTATAAAAACGGTAAACGCCTTCTGACGTAATTTGATTTATTTTATCTATTCCGGGAGACTCACTCCTGTTGATATTAATCAGTAAATACATGATACGTCACTGCTTTTTCTTAGGTGTCATATGTTTTTCTAATTATGCGATAAAAAATACAACTTTTTTGTCGTTTTACTTTTTTTGATATCTTGCTTCGTTTTCATCTTTTCATATGCACATTCTTAAGGGAAGTAGAATACAAAAATAGAAATTCAATGTTTTAGTTATTTACTTGCAAACTTTGGTTTGCACTGGAGTCGTATAAACCAAATGTTTGAGGTGACCCCAAAGGAAAAAGTCCAATGAATTTAAGTCGGGAGACCTCGGGGGCCAGGGTTGAGTGCCTCCTCGACCTATCCAGCGATTTGAGTAGATATTGTTCAAATATTCACGTGCAGCTAAACTGAAATGGGGTGGAGCACCATCGTGCATAAAATACATTTGCAACCTTAATAAAACCGAAATTTTGGAAATCCGTTTTTGTTTCATTTCAGCCTTGTTTGAAGTGATATTGAAAAATGAAAAAAACTTTGTGATTGCCACTTTTTGTCCTCTATCGAATGGCATAATCAATCAACTTCATTTTTTTAAATACGACCCTAGAAATTTGATTACATTTTTTGCAAGCCTTCATGACCCTCAATACTCTACTGCCTCAGCCCGAACCAGATTCAGACGTTTTGTCTCGAAAAATTCATCTTCAGTGTATTCGTTCCAAATTTAGCTAAATTTTTTATTTAGATTTCTTTGATTATTGAATTATCGTACACTGTCAGTGTCGTTAGATCCTGTGAAATCCATCTAGTTATTTAAACTAAACTAAAAAGGTAAAAACGCTATATTCGTTTAAAAAGCTATATTCATTTTTAAAAAGCTATATTCATTTTATACTAGTAAAAAAGGAAAATAATTATTGTTTATACTGCATTAAAAAAGATGTCTTATCCCTTCACACTTGCCACCGTACAATAATACAATGGACTTTCGTCACGCAAATTTTCTTTTATTTGTTGTTAATGCAGTTCTTGATTTTATAAGTTTATTTTTTTTTCTTCCTTGCTGCAAGTGCTATGACGTCATTTCCTGCATCCAGACCTCATGTTTTTGTCATTCTTTTATTTTTTGACATTCTGTTGTTATTAGTTCATATATCTGCCTTGCTTACCCCTTTATCGTTATCTTTGCGAAATTTGCAACAATTCCTCCCTCATCGCCAATAAAACAAGATCCAGGCAGGCAGGTCCGTTAGTCACTTGTTTCGCGTCCTTCGCCCTCTATCTGTTTATATAATTATTCATGGCCTCCTCTAATTTGTCAGCATATTGCGTATAAAACCTGTGGCCAAAAGGGCCGTATGTTTGCAGTGTATTTATCACCAAGACCCCTGATTGTGCTATTGTCATGATAATTTAATATCGTAATACATTTAACGACACCCTAATTTAACCCTCAGAGATACTAACATGCATGGAAGAGGGGAAACCTCGCAGATTTCACGGTAGTTGATGCTATTATCGAAATTATTTTTATTTATGCTGCTAATGCTCGGGGTCCTTCAAAAGCTTTTAAAATTAGTAACAAGTCGTCGACTTGGTTGTGTTGTGCGAATGGAAAGCTAGGAAGCGGTTAGTCTTAGAAAAATAGATAAACGTACAATATTTGTGGCAGTATAAAAATGTTCAG